GCTGGCCTACTTTGATATTAAGCCTGAAAATCAAGCGTATATGATTCTGCTTTGTAACCCGTAACCCCAATTTTTAGTAAATCTTGAGTTTTAACTAAATAAAACTACCATACCTTTCTATCCGACTGCACATTGTCAGAGAATTTGTGTTCCGAATTTACCAAAGTCCATCCAGATCCATAAATAATGATTAATTGAAAGCAAAATAAAATGTGTCGTTGGATTGCCATGCCTTCATCTCTACCAATCTATGATCGTGTTAGTTTGAGTGTGTCTGGTGTACAATGTACATAATTCAACTTGGGGTGTTGTAATTTACACATGAGAGAAATATACCAAGTAATAATTAGATCATTAATTTATCACCTCCAGTCATTGGGTCATTTCACATTATACACTTCAGCAAACTGTCATTATTTATTTAGATAGCTACACTGATAGAGCAAAATGTAGTCATTATTTCTCCCATCTTTACCAGAAACCATTCCTCTTTAGAACTCCCGCTACCAACACCCTCCCACTCCCAGATTGCACACCAACGTCTACACTTGTGGTTGTTATTAAGGTTATTTTCGCGCCTCAAGGGGGGAGTGGGATAATACATTCGATAAAGGATCCTGAAAGGAGTAATAGAAACAGAAAGAATACAAATCCATGCTATAAAGGATGGTATCTTTTCACCATATCATCTCATTCGACTGTGTTACACTGGGTATTTTTATTATGAATCTTTTTCTTTGACAATATTTGAGGAAGTCAGGCCTAACCATTACCAAGATAAAATTTGTCGGAAGGAATTTCAACAAAGGACTAGAATAAACTTTATTGTAACTAGAATCTTAATAATAATAAGCATTTGATAATATATAACAAATACATAAATAGTATAATTCATTGTATCATGCTCATCATGGTATAACTCATTTTCACTAACAAATTTCACCCATTCTGAAGCAGAATACAGACCAAACTTTTACTAAAACACACTTCCATACACCCTTCTTCCAAATTTGTTGTCAAACACTCGCTGACAATTTCCCTCACATCCTGGACTTCTAAACAAATTCACTACTCGGATTTTACTTCGCCAACATCAAGGAACATAGTATTAGGCTGAAAACAACTACAAATTTAACAATGAAGAAGATTTCTAATTATACCTGTCTAAATGATCGTTTTGTTAAATGCTAAATTTTCTATTTTGAATCATAGTGGTTGGATTTTGGATTCCCCTCAAAAATGAGTTTGCCATCGTTTCTCATTTATTAAACACCAAAACATTCATTATCATGCGTTAATGCATCGCACATTAAGACATAAGACATTGCGTATCTTGTGGAACATAAATTCTCTAAGGCTAAAGGACCCAAAGTAAAATGAATTATTCCCATGATATATTAAAACCAAAAACAGAATATATCTTTGTTTCGTTATATTCTGAAAACTTTTTGATTATATTTTTAAACAGATTAATCTTTTATGACCTCAAAGATGTATATTCAAAAACAAAAATTACTAGAGATAGCATCAACGGCTTGTCAACAGTAGATACTTTTAAATACAATATGATATACATTTGCCAACCTAACACATTGTAGATACATATAGTATAGTATGGTATAATAATATAACTATTGTACAACATCAATAATCACAACATTAATACTACTAGTTCATATTGCACTCCATTAACGATCATCAAATACAAAAATATTGCACATTAACAAAATAGCAAAAGCTATTGTCACAAATAAATATCAAAAACATGATATTTTATTCCCTACAAAAATTCAAGCCTCATATAATTTTATATAGTTGTAAATACATTAGCAGGTAAAATAGAACAATCACCTTTATAAAATCTGCTTCCATATCACAAATTTTCTTTTGCACCCTGTAAACATTTTTAATATTTTGTACTATACTTTTCATTTCCGAAAGTTCTTATAGAATTCAATTCTATTCATATTTTTCTACATGAAACGTGATAAATATAAGTTACTTCATTTTAAATTTCATTAAATAAAATTGAACTATAAGATATATCTTGAATTATTATGCAAAACTACAAAAAACTATTAAGCAAATAAATAAATAAAACAAATATGACTTTAAAACTCATATAAAATGATCTATGTAAAGCAAATAAATACAAGGCAGCAAATAATAGAATGAATCTATAAATCTGTTTCCAAAACTGAAAAACTCAACAGCTGACAATTCTGTAGAAAAAAAGAAAACTGGAAGTTAATATGTGCAAAATTTTTTAAAGAAAATAATATTACAGAAATAAAACCTGTCAAAAAAATAAATGAAAAAAAAACAAAACTAAAACTTGCTTTGACAGTTGTGTATTAATAAATTCTATTCTAGCAATTCTATAATACATTTTGACAATTTGAAAGCTTTGACAATTTGATACATTTTGGCACTAAGTATCACTGAAAAAAAGAGCATGTACACCAAAACCATAACACAGCAAAACACACGATAATAACAAGCAAAAAATATCTAGACATCTAAAAATTGATGTAAAACAAACTGCTTTAAAGGGACAGATTCGCCATCTTGAGGGTTGATTTGGGTCTTGAATATATGTAAATAGTCGAAAATCGCATAATTTGTTTAAAAATACTTCAAACTAGGAATTTTACTCTCTATTTCTATGTCTTTTCAATATATCGCTGAATATCTTTAATTGACAAGTCATCCAAACGCAGATAATTCTGGACACATATGAATTTGAAGTCACAAATTTCACTGGGTAAACACTGATAAGCTTAGCTAAAGAATTCCAATAATGTACAACCGTCAAAAAAATGGGGCATCTGTCCCTTTAAATTATCTTTAGCTACCCATAATATACTCTGTTTATACTCAAAATGAAATGAAGTCAATTATAATATTATAGATATAATTAACAACTAAAAGTATAATAAAATAATCGTATTTATATATAATATATATATATTTATATATTTTAGTTTATGAAAAAACCACATCTATAATAATTTTGATCTCATTGTAGATGAATCCTGTGTAAAAATATTTAATAACACTGTGTTATGGGTAGCTAATATTCAGTTTAATCAGTTAAATATTGCACTGAGTTATTGTCATCTCTAATTTAATTAGCAGTAAAAAACACTCAAATTGTGTACAATGAACACCTGTTCAACATATTTTGTTAGCAATCATGACACCAAGCAAGCTAAAAACCAAATTTGCGTGCAATTATTTGTATAATATAGAAAGATTAATAATGACAAGAAGCTAGTTACTGTTATTTTTTTGATTTTAGATTAATTTTTGAGACATTTACAAAACACTTTCTTGTAATAAAACTGTAGTAAAAATTTAGAATTTCACTTTAAAAGCAGGTAATTAGTAGAAATATAAACCTGAAGTCGTTTTACTATTATTTACTGACACAATCTTCAAATATTATTCTCCAAGAGTTTCTCTTTTCTGCCTTACACAGCATAGAAAGTTTATGTTTGTTTTAACATGAATAATTATATCATGGTAATTTCTGATGTATGTCATCAACAATGACACAGACAGAGTTCAAATGGCACTGATGACAATTGTACATCAAAGTATTTTGTAATATTATCAGAATTTATATTAGTCATCAGAAATATAATAGAGGAAAGAATGCCTTAATTTTTAAGTAAATGTTTAAGATAAAGAAACAAGTCAGTGTGTATTGTAGTGTGTAAAATAATGTCAATGATACAGAATACAAGTTGACAGCTCAACATTTACTACATTATTATAATCATTGTATTTGTCATATTAACTTGTAGCATGTAATATATATCATTTAATAATACTACTTCAAAAACATGCACTGACATCACTTTGTAAATTTTCTTAAAGGATTTTACTCGAAATTTTGCGCATGTATAAAGAAATTGTCCAATACATCAATTAACTATAACTACACTAACTACAAACAGACAACATAGAATTATACTATAGTACTCTTTCCTTCATCTTCATCATCAAAAAATACACATAAAGATGATGGACTGACAGTCTCCTCTTTCAGAAGAGCTGAACTTTCATTAGCACTAAGAGAATCCGAAGAGTCGCCTTTAGAAACATAAACTTGACTGGCAGTAGAAGCTGGTGGTACATGACAGGAAGCAGTAGTAGTTATAGAGGTTTTAGGTGATGTTAGAGCTTCATAGTGTTCTAAAGCAGTCGGGGAGGGAGATCGGGAACGGATATAGAGTGCACCATGCCGTATTATTCTACTGGGTTTTGGAGTCAGAGCATCACTGGCTGGGTCATCATGAGATTTTGATCTGGGAACAAAGCGAGTACGACTGGTCTAGATAGAAACAAGACAAAGAGTCAATCAGAACAAAGCAATCAATATAAAAAAACCTACAGCTTTCAGTAACAGTGTTTAAAATTACGTTTAGTCATAAATAAAATTGGTAAATTATTTTTAAAGGCACTAAGAAACTGTATTATATATAACTAGTTTTGGCCTTTGAAAAAACAGAATTTTGTAAAAGTCAGCAATCATTTTTGTGCTTAATCGTCAATTATGTTATCAAATGAACAGTCACCAAGGTTATCAAATGAACAGTCATCACAGTTCCAATATGATGACATGAATTTTTCTGACGCGATATATAAAAATATAAAAAGTAACATCAAAAGAATGATTTGAACAGTCACCAAGAGAATGATTTGAACAGTCACCAAGAGAATGATTTGAACAGTCACCAAGAGAATGATTTGAACAGTCACCAAGAGAATGATTTGAACAGTCATCAAAGAGAATGATTCAAACTGTCATCAAGATGAATATTTAAGTGTCACCAAGGTTATCAACTGACCAGTCACCAATATTAGTTGAACATTTACTGTCATTTCATGTGGACTTTTGAGTCATTACAGTCTTCATTTGAACAGTCACCAAGATTATAATTGGAGTTAGAAAGATTATTCATAAGGAATCTCCAAGGTTATCATTAGACCAGTCACCAACAATATCTAGTGGACAGTGCATGAGTCACTAAAGACTTCATTTGAACAGTCACTAATATTATGATTTGAATAGTCACTAATATTATGATTTGAATAGTCACCAAGCTTATGATTTGAATAGTCACCAAGATTATGATTTGACTAGTCACCAAGATTATGATTTGACCAGTCACCAACATGATTTTATAAGAGCCATCAAGGTTATCATTTGACCAGTCACCAACATTAGTAGTTGAACAGTTACTATCATTTCACGAGTCACTACAGTCCTCATGTGAACGGTCACCAAGGTGATCAGTTGAATAGTCACCAACATTATCAAGTAAACAGTTACTGTTGTTTCATGACCCACTTCACAGTGAACAGTCACCAAATAATGAATTGAACAGTCACCAAGATTATTATTCAAGAGTCACGAAGGTCATCACTTGATCAGTTACCAGCAGAAACCAAAACAAAGTCAACTAGGTTATCATTTGACAAGTCACCAAGGTTATCATTGTTATCATTTGAACAGTCACCAAGGTTATCATTTGACAAGTCACCAAGATTATCATTTGACAAGTCAACAAGGTTATCATTTGACAACTCACCAAGGTTATCATTTGACAACTTACCAAGATTATCATTTGAAATGTCAACAACGTTATCATTTGAACATTTAACAAGGTTATCATTTTCACAATGCTTTTCCATTTAGAATTGTCACTAAGTATACATTATTTAAAGTCAGCAATTATATCAGTTGATCAGTCATCAATATGATATTCAACAGCCAACAAAATTGCCATTTGAACAGTCACCAAGCATCAACAGTTACTTAGATTATGTGAAGACTCACTGTGCTAGAACAATTACCACGATGATTATTTGAAGTGTTACCAACGTTCAATGTCTTTAATCATTAGATAGAACATCACTTGATCAATTACAAGGATGATCACTTAAAGAACAACCAAGGTTCTGTAAGATTATTTCTTAAAACAGCACCACGTCCACCATTTAAACCATTACAATGATAAATATTTCAAAAATGAAAGTTATCACTTGAACAGTCACCAGGAGGATTATCAGATTATCAGATAATCTTATCAGGGTATCATATTATACACTTACCAATGAGGCCATTACAATATGATATGGCCATCAGTAACATAATATGTTCCTACTGATTCAAATTAAAGGGACAGATTCGCCAATTTTTAGGGATTAATTTGGGTCTTGAATACATAAAGAAGTATTAGAAGTGTAGTAGCATAATCCCTTCAAAAATGGCTCAAACCAGAGAATATATATCTATATCTTTTCTATATGTGGCAAAAAACAGGTAGTCAACAGTGAGCTGTGAACATATTACTGATTAGCTTAGTTAAAAGATTCCCGATTCTGAGACTAAGGTATGATTGGTCAAACAGATGGCAAGTCTGTCCCTTTAATGTTTCATTAAGAATGTAGGAATGTATCTCAGTCCGTATTTTGATTGAACATATTACTCCTTTCATTTTACCAGTTATTTGTATACGAAGAATGAACAGAAGGATTACAGAAAAGAGGAATACAGAGAAAATGAACACTGTTATTGAAAGCTGGGATAAATATGGTTAAAAGGGGAAATACTTCAGCCTGAACATGCAAAATGATAGCAATTGGGAAAAAGCTCATAAAAGGAAAGATTTGCTTCATACTGAAAAAATGTGAAAGATAAGGCTCAAAAGGTGCACTTTGAAAGAGAAAACATTGAAAAAGGCAAAAAAAAACATAAACTGAAAGATTCTTAATCAGCATATCAAGTAGTGAAGTAATTATGTTTCTAAAGAATTGAAATTTTCAAAATGCAGTTATCTTTTGAAAGAAGTTTGTATTATAGTGTTATTAATTCTAGTTAATTTAATCGGAATAATCATCTTACATTAATTACTATTATAACTAAACAAACCTAATTTCTATCACTCTTTACCCAATTGTTATTATTTTGTATGAGAGGAAATAAAAATAAATTGAAGATCATATTATGCTGTATAACTCAGATAGCTCAGAATGCAATGTCCCAAAGACTTCTCAAAATGCTATATGCCTCAAACATTTGGAGCATCAAATATAAATTTCATATTTACATAATACTTCATATAAAATAAATTCATGGACAACCATGTTTCCAAAAATAAATTAAGGCTTGAAATAAAATAGAAAATCTCCGCTGGGCCAGCAATGTGTTATATTAAATTAGTACAAGTGCCCTTCAAATGAAATTTGAAAACTTCCTATGGGTCAGCAGTGGACTTTATTGAATATAGTGGACCAACAATGTGCCTTTGAAATGAAATTAAAAACATCTGATGGGTCAGCAGTGTGCTTTGTTGATTTAGTACAGAGGGCCATCAATGTGCCTTTGAAATAAAATTGCATTAGTATAATGGGCCAGCAGTGTGAAATGAAATTGATTTTTGATTTGCTCCAGAATTTTGTTATAAATTTGTTAATAATATAAAAGTGCTGTTAGATTTCATTCAAATTAAACACGTGCAGCATTAGGATGTACCTTAGCTTCAACAGATTCTGGTATTGTTTCTACTGAACGAGCCATGGTGACACCAGTGGGTCTCCGAAGCTGAAATGATGCTTGTTCATGGAAGACAACAGCTGTACCAGGAATACGTTGAGGAGATTCTTCACTACTACCACCATCCTCACCATGATCTGGTCGACGTCTATGTGACATAAATCTTCTCATACTCGTAGTCTTTGTTTTTTGGCGTCTTATTTTAAAGGTTTTACGACTTTTAGCATCCTGTCTTTGTAACCTATGACCTCTAGGATCATCTGTGTCTGGGTTAATGGTATGGATTGCTTAAAAAAGAGACAAAGTAAAGGATTAGAGAGTTGTTTTTGTCATTATTGGTACGTTAGAAATATGACAACAACATTTTAGATATCATATACAACAGTTTATCAAGACTTCAGATTTTATATCTTACCTCCACCATTAGCAGCTTCATTTTCTTCATTTTCAAATAAAACATGAGCTGGTGTCCCTTGATCATCCATACTAGATTGTTTAGAAAGTCTTCCACCACGAATTGTACCTTTACGTTTAATTAATGGTGAGCCTTCAAATTCAACTTGATCTGAAACAATATTTTAGATAACATTACCAAAGATAAGTCCAATCATCTACCCACAGCACAGCTATGAAAAGTTGAGGTTTTACACTTCAATTGTTTATGGTCTGAAAAGTTGATTTTGAAAACCTGATAGCTAAAACACCTGATGTAACTCTAGTCAGTATCTATTTTTAGATAATCCACATAGCTTTTAACAATTCTGTGTTTATATTACCTGGTGATATATCATCTATAGTATTTTTACGTGTAAATTTCTCCAGGATTTTACTGCCATCATGAGCCGAGATACGTTTACTGGATTTATGACGAATCATTAAAGGAGAAACTTCTTCTGATGTTCCAGATCTCTGAGGTCCACTGGCTGAACTTGATTGAGAAAAGATGGTAGCTGGAAAAAAATGATCATGATAATATAAGAAACTCAACCATTTCTCTTCCAAACAACAAAAAACAAGATTATCAACATATTCCTTGTTTAAAATTATTTGTTCTGGTATGAACAATGTCTCAAAGACATTTGACTATAAAATAAATACTAAATAATACCCACCACGACTAGCACGTTTACAAGATAAGTTAACAACAGGTTTAAAAGGACCAATAATTTCCATAGCAATCTCTGAGAAAGATGGCCGTGATCTATCTGGTACCTGGGTTGTATAAGAATCAGATCTATCTGTAGCAAATGTTGCTGTTCTAGATCTGTAGCCAGCTGTAATGGAAACATAAACCAATTACATTAACCATGGAAATTGGCTGGTATGAGGCAGGGGCCAGTATCATACTGTTTGTTTAAAAAAAAAAGAAGAGATATTTACTGATATCTAGTATATCAGTAAAAATTTTCTATTTTTTTTTACTGTGGTAGTAGGCTTGCCCAGCTTTGGCTTTGTGAACCACCTTAATTATTCTGTGACCCTATAGTAGCCCCTTCAATTAGATGATTCAATTACCGGTAGTAAGAGAAGCTTTAAAATTCTAGATGCATGAATATTTAAAAAGTGCACCACAAACTCATTTCATTCTGGTAACTTCCTTCAGTGGCATTTAGTATTTACTTTAATATATAATTGTGACTTTTTCATAATGAAAATGATTCTATCATCATTATCTTTATTCGTATATATTATTATTGCTCTGTAATCAACACTATCATCATCAAAACAAGCAAGTTATTGATAATTTTATTCCATATAATTGTTTCCAAGTTTATATCATACTTCTTATATTGACTTTTTATCCAGTTGTGTACAAATGAAAACAGACCAAATCATATCATTATATAACTAGAAAAAACACTTCAACATATCATACCTATATTATTACTAGCTATTTCTTCACGTAGTTGTTTTAATTCTGTAGCTAGTTGTATCAAGATAGAACTACAAGATTTAGGATGAGTGAAACTATAACCTTGTAATTTATCTCTTATTGTTTGTTGTAAATAATATTCTTGAGCTGTATCACAATTAACCTTCATCATCTAATCAATTACAAAAATAATCAATTAAAACCATATATATACAAGTTGTAATATATTAGATGGTATATGTTAAATACTTTGAACTTTAGTAACATTGATATTGTGGTATTGATGGGACTTTGTTAGATTAGCTACAGCCTTCCATATTAGCAACTTCTACCATCAGATATCAATACCAAATAACTTACAATATTGTCAAGGGAACCTCTGGGGATAAATTTTTATCATTATTATAATGTGCACCTCCAGTTTGTAGGGTAAAAAAGTGCGCACTATACACACAAATATACAGTAAATGACACATATTGCAGATATGTATCATTGGTTTTCTCTGTAATGCAGTCTTAAAAGCTAAAAATACTTACTCTAAATTCTATAAATGTTTGCAGTATTAAAAACAATGAAGGTCTATGTGTTGTTACAAAATCTATAAAATTCCATAATGGTAATCCAACTGAAAAATAAAACAATATCTTTTTATGATATAGATATAGAAGATAACTCCAGCACAAGATAGAATTCAATATTTACAAGTGAAGTGCAGTGAAAAATTACTTATCATCACAAAATTCAATATGGATCTCCATTACCTTTGTATCAACCTACAAACATCAAAATGTTAATGAATAAACACATAATATCTTAATTAATTTTTACAAGTCACAACTTACTGCGGCCTCTACTTGCTAGGTTTTGTATAGTTTTAGCAACTTTATGCCATTCACCAGCTAACTGTTTATCAAAACATACCATCAATATTTCTAGACCTAAAAATAAGAATATTAAGTCTAAGTCTGTTCTAGATAAAACTATTGAAATAATTACATATTTTCTATAGAACTGAATAAGGAACCTGGATTACTGGAGTATGTACATCATTTTAGTATTTTATTTATAAAATATTTAATTGTCTGTCCTACAGTAAACTGATTATTATTTTGTTGATTAGTGGTATTGACCTGACCTATAATGTTAAGCTGATTTAATTAGATTTCACTCCTAATCAATAGCTGACCATACTCACCATTATGTTCAGATTAGTTCACCTCTTTCTTAAATATCTTCACTTTGCTTTTCATTTGAGCGAGTAAAGTCATTTTCCCTCCCACCCAACCCCAATATTTAAGACTTAAAGGATTCGTGGGCTTTGGTATATATATTTTGAAATATTGCATACATTTTTCATATTTAGAAGTATCTAATTTTATATTTCTTATTAATTTGTAGTTAAAGTTTCGTACTTAAGTGTTTGTTTTACTTGGGTCAGATGATTTACAAGGATAACGTCATGTAAATCTTTTCTCACCATAGTGCTGAATTTCAGCTGTTTATAGCTCCTTTTAGAATGCATGAAAATTCACTGTATCAACTGCATTTACAGTTATTTGTGTTTGTTAAAACATTAGATTGTTTTGTGAAAATATTTACTATAAATCTACTGAAGATAAGAATTACTATTTATTTACCTAACAAAGCACCCCACTGTTGTATATCTGTAGCCATTCTATGTTTAGGTTTATCATCCTGTGATATACTACCAGATCTACCATATTCACCAATAGATAGATGTGATTTTGCAGCGTTGTTATTAGAACCATGAACCTTACTACCTTGTGACAGTAGATTACATATAATATTACAGATAAATAACACATCTACATGTGATAACTTGGGCATATCTGAAATGTAATAATAGACAATCTGAATTAAAGGTGCGGTCTTAGGTCAGAAAATTTAAATTTTTTCTGAAAATCACACAAAAAGTTTGAAAAAAAAATGTTATCTCGACATGAAGGGATATCAAAATAAATTTAAAAGCTTTATTTGGGTTATGTCAAATTTGGGAAGTAGAATCACTATTAGAGTTATAAGGAAAATATAACTAAATACCTTTACGTCCACATCCAACTCTTATACATAATGGAAGTATAAAGTTCACCAATAAACTTAATGTTCGTTCAGTGACTTGAAACATGGCCATACCACCACACAGTTGTTCAAATGTATACTGGTCCTATAGTGATATAATACAGAATTTATTATAGAAAGATTTTTATAAAGTATTTGTTTAAAACAAGAATAAAACTGAAAACTTTTCTATGATGAAAATAAGATTTGAGTATATTACATGTCTTCAACAGAAATTAACTAATAGAAATTGCACATACCCCTAAAAATTGCATCTGCATAGCTACAAGTTTAACAACAGCTGAACAGAATATTGGTGGTACTTCAACAACAGAGGCTGGACCATCAGTACGACATGAAGAACTAATAGTAGTACCACCTTCAGGTATCAATGGTCCACCAGGAGCTCCAGATAGTAATATATTTATTAGTACATTTACTAATGTCTGAAGTATATATATATAGTGAGATTCAGGTAACTTCATCAACAACATTGAAAACATTATTGCGTAAATGCAATGACTTCCCAGCTCGATATGATTACAGACATAAGAAACTATTGGTTGTCATAAACAGGGACTTGGCACAAAAATAAATGAAAATTATTCATCTGGTTAAGAGCTCGGCAAATATCATACATCAAATCAGTAGATCTTACCTTTAAATGGGGAAGATGAGCAATATATGGAAATTTTCTTAATGTACAATAAACACCTAGAAAGAAAAATATATACCTGTAACTCTAGATTGATTGGTTTAAAGGTACTACTGTCCATATCAATTATTAGTAATTATGAAAGCTATATGTCTGGTTTATTCAGTTCTAATTGCTACTTATTATACCACAAAACATGTTAATACTTTACACTTGTTCTAAAAAGAACATCAATATCCATGCTTGACCTCAAATTTATTATCTAAAACCTTACAAAGTATTATGTATGTAATCATCACACATATATTTTTCAATTTTATCATTATTTTCTTTCACAGTGAAATATCTTACCTTTCAAAATACTAGCTGCAGCATCCCAATTCATTTGTCTCTGTAAAAATAAATATGACATGATGCATATACTATTCAATGAAAAGCAAATAATCTAGTTAGATATTTTTCATTGTTTATATATACATACTTAGAAGTATAGTTTACAAATTACTACAAATAAATACATTAACAAATATATTCAGAAGAATTCCTATACTTACCCTTAATCCTGATTTTTTGGAAAGTTTTGAGAACAATCTGTCTAAACGACGTAATATCAGGTTTAATGCTGGACGTATTGATTCTTGTGACCAATCAGTGGCAGGTAACATACCAGTCATATACCTTGAACACAGTAAAATTTGATAATATACCTTGAACACAGTAAAATTTGATAATATACCTTGAACACAGTAAAATTTGATAATAAAGATTAAATTTAGCAGTAAACATTACAAAGTGTTTATAGACACAAAAGATAATTAATCATAGACAATAATGTTGATAGACGAATAAGCAATCGTGGGTTTTACTTGATAAATTTGCCTTTCATACTCAATTTTAGTTATGAAAAACATACCATTTAAATCAGGATATACACATGTACACAAATTTACTTTACAATACATGTTTTGGGCACACACAAATTACATAATCAATAAGGTTTTACACATGTATCCATAATACACAAAATTTACTTTAAGTACACTGTTTTTTTTTATATTTTGTAATATACACAAATTACATATAAATCATGTTTTAAACTTATTTTTAAGGTCTGGTTTTAATATAAAGTAAAGCTTTTCTAGAAGTATAAAAAGTTTCCTCATAGGGTTTTTAAACATGTGTATCTATCCTAGGGTTTTTAAACATGTGTATCTATCCTAGGGTTTTTAAACATGTGTATCTATCCTAGGGTTTTTAAACATGTGTATCTATCCTAGGGTTTTTAAACATGTGTATCTATCCTAGGGGTTTTTAAACATGTGTATCTACCCTAGGGTTTTTAAACTTGTGTATCTACCCTAGGGTTTTTAAACATGTGTATCTATCCTAGGGTTTTTAAACATGTGTATCTACCCTAGGGTTTTTAAACATGTATATCGACCCTATGATTTTAAACTTGTGTATCTACCCTACGGTTTTTAAACATGTGTATCTACCCTAGGGTTTTTAAACATGTGTATCTACCCTAGGGTTTTTAAACATGTATATCGACCCTATGATTTTAAACTTGTGTATCTACCCTATGGTTTTTAAACTTGTGTATCTACCCTATGGTTTTTAAACTTGTGTATCGACACTAGGCTTTTTTAACATGTGTATCGACCCTAGGGTTTTTAAACATGTGTATCGACCCTAGGGTTTTTAAACATGTGTATCTACCCTACGGTTTTTAAACTTGTGTATCTACCCTATGGTTTTTAAACTTGTGTATTAGGGTTTTTAAACATGTGTATCTACCCTACGGTTTTTAAACTTGTGTATCGACACTAGGCTTTTTAAACATGTGTATCGACCCTAGGGTTTTTAAACATGTGTATCTACCCTAGGGTTTTTAAACTTGTGTATCTACCCTAGAGTTTTTACACATGTGTATCGACCCTAGGGTTTTTAAACATGTGTATCTACCTTACGGTTTTTAAACTTGTGTATCTACCCTAGGGTTTTTAAAGATGTGTATCTACCCTAGGGTTTTTAAAGATGTGTATCTACCCTAGGGTTTCTAAAACATGTGTATCTACTCTAGGGTTTCTAAAACATGTGTATCTACTCTAGGGTTTCTAAAACATGTGTATCTACCCTAGTGTTTCTAAACATGTGTATGTACCCTAGGGTTTTTAAACATGTGTATCTATCCTAGGGTTTTTAAACATGTATATCGAACCTATGATTTAAAACATGTGTATCTACCCTAGGGTTTTAAAACATGTGTATCTACCCTAGGGTTTAAAAACATGTGTATCTACCCTAGGGTTTCTAAAACATGTGTATCTACCTTAGGGTTTTAATACATGTGTATCTACCCTGTGTTAAATTCTTATCATTTATAACTTACCTCTGTAATCCTGAACAAGCCATGGTAATACGATCATATGGTGCAAGTTTTAACAAAGTAAGAGCTATCTCAGCAAGTCTCTGAAAAATATCCACATGAAATTATAAAATAAACCATATTTAGACAGAATCAAACCAAAACTTTCAGAAGACAACTTCATAGTTCCATCTGAATTTCATTATTCACTAATGTTAAAATATTCAAATATATTCTATACTTACATTATGTGTTTTATGATCCACCAAATCAGGTGATCGAAAAGTGGGATCAGCTAAAACTTTTCTTAATTCCTTCATTCGAGTTCCACAGAATGAATAAAACTCAACCACAAGAGATAACAAGGAATCTCTCGGTTTACGAAATTCATTACGAAGTTCAAGGTCATCAGGATCTGGTAGAAATGTTTTACGCCTGCCTTCTTCCATATGACGACTTGGTGATAGAAAACTGCATTGGAAAACGGTTACAGTCATAAGTTACCTGAGAGCTAAGCCAAGTGTATTCATCCCGTCTTAAAAACATCATGAACAATTCAAGAAAGTCCCCCTCTTGGAACTTGACCATGAACCATAAATTGCTTATAAATAACATTAATTAGAGAAATTCATCTTTATTCTTTTTGAATTTCCATTAACTTCAAAATTGTCATTAGGAAATCAGAATCAAAAAATTTGATTAACTTTAAAACTGTCAAAGCAATATAAAGTGTCAAACTGACAAAACTTTGTTGATATTCAAAGGAAAGGAAATATCTTAAAAACACACTTTCATTCTTCAAAAACACACATACAAATAATATAATCACAAATTTCCCAGATATACTGGAGGGTAAGAAGGGGTGCGCGTCATACATGACTGTGCATTTTATTCACAACTTTACAGTACCTGGCATGTGAGTCTTCTCTATCATCTAATGTTAAAGAATGTACACTATGGTTCTGCATTGGTTTTATATTAGAATTAACTGTTTCCATATGACGTTGTGGTATACTCATAGGTCTGAAATACAACACAAATACAAGGACAACTTGATCAAAAATTATGTAGAAACTGCACGATACAAGACTCACAAATGCTACCTTTTATGGTATCAAATGTAGGAACTTTCTTGATATTTTTCCTCTCAATTGATTTTGATTTTTGGTGAAATTTAGAAAAATTTCAAATTACCTGGTAAAAAATTCACAACAGCTAAGTAAAGCTCTAATAGAAACAGCTATTCTACTAATACAATCTATCTCAGCTCTAGCTGCTGTTGGATTATCTCTAGCTGTTGTCTCTTTCTTTAGATGTTGTAGATAACGTGGTATAATTATCTCTAAAATAGTCTGAAATGAAATAAACAGTAATAATTTACAAACAACTTACAGTAATAAAATTTTTTCAGAGCAACATTGAAGTATTGGAACAGAAACATGTTTCAAGTTCTGTTTTAAAATTGCTACATGTATAAATCATAAGTTATTTTTTGTTTCATTAGGTATGTGAAGAGGGTTTATTAGATTACAATTTAAAATTTCAAATTGGCATGAAACAAAGCTAGTGCTTGATTGTTCTGAATTTGTGTTTAGTTTAAGAATGGAGGAAATTTCAATGAAAAACTTACCAACATCTGTCCACTCCTGAAGGAATCTGGACCATAAGCTACCACAGTGACACACATATTGATCACATCCATTAGATCAAAATCATCAGGATCATTCTCATAGCAAAAATCCTGAAATGTCAAAATAAGACTTCTAATTAATTCTGATATCAAAATCCTAAAATATGGAAACAAGCAAAGCCAGTGAATTTTAAAAGTTAACTAAAATGAACAAATCAAATTATTCAGAACCCTTTCAGAGCATATCAGGAGAGATTCATCAGCTCAAACTACAATATCAGCTTGTATTACAAAAGAAAGTATAATGAGCTCATACAATATCATGTGAGGTCCTGTAGAATAGTCAGCAAAAGCATTGGTTACATCAATCAAATGGTGGTCAAGGACCAGCTGGTAGAAAGGATCCTGAGTGATCCTAAGGTGTTATTCTTGTAAAATGCAGTTGTTTCTTTCTTTTCAACAATATTGATTACAATTATAATCCTGTTCATAAAAAAATATTACACTTACAAGAGCTCTGAGTGGTTTTTCTCCCTCCACAAGATTTAATACACCTAGATTGTCAACACATGTTTTCTCTAGTGATATCAGTAAGTTGAAAAAGGCATTTGGTTGAATCTGAAACAGATATTGAGAAAGTAAATATAAAGAAGATTCCCACCAAATATTTTCACAAAATAATTAAAATCAATTTTTAGAAAAACTGCTTCAAAGGAAGGAGACTATCTAATTCTTTGATATATTTTTAAAAATATTTTTTCGATTTTCTTCATTAATGACATTAATTCAGATAAAATTGATATTTCAACCAAAAAATCTACTTCTACTTGCCTTATTACAATCTAGCAGACCTCCAGCACCACAAGTCATGTCTAATAATGGTGCCACTGATCCAAACATTTGTAACATAAATGGTTTACGATGAAGAATATAGAATTGTCGGCAAACGAAATGTATAGCTTTCTTTAATACAGCATTAGGTTGATTATTACTATAAACTCTTAATAGTGTTGGCATTATATACAGGAATCTAGAAATTAATTATTATAAAAAGAAACAGTGTCTTTTGTCTTGAATAATTTACCTACATTCACACATCTTCAAATGAGAGCTATAAAATCCATGTCATGTTAAATTGATCCATATTTCTCAAAAATATTTTTTGTCAATATCTGTCACAGGTTTCATAATGTCCAGCTAATTGAGCTCAATATTCAACTATCTGTATCCATCTTAAGAATGTCAAGTGTGAAAAGTAAATTGACCACAAAAGTGTTTTAGACAAGACACCATTAGATCTAACAATTCTAATAAACTTACCCATTAGTAGCAAAGATATGTTTAAAATGTGTACAAGTATTTATAAAGGATGCCAGACAGAATCTCAGAACTGCTGTATCTTCACATAGTAATATTACTGTACCATTTATAACATTTAAAAACAATGGTAAATCATTGGACCAATTAAATGTACTAGGCATAGAGCGAAACATGGTGTTCATTAACTGAAACAAAAATATAACAAGTTATGAAAGTTTAATCTAGGTTTTAAAAGACTAACAAGGGGAAAACTGAAGGAACTTTATGCACCATTATTCATGATAAAAAACAGGATTTATAAATAAAGGTATTTTTGCTGGTGCAGTTCATCTAATTCTTCATCTTTCCATATATTTCATCAATATCGATAAATCTGTTCAGTTATAAACATAATCAAGTACAAACCTTAGCCCAGGCATATTTATGTAAGGAATCCATAGAAAACAGTTCCTGTAACATATAAGATATATCATAATGAGATGGAAGTCAAGATTTCTGTTACAATATAAAATCCTTTGCATCACCAAACAAGTATCATTACACATGGGCCTACAAATAAATTCACAGAAGTATACATTTATGCATCTCATGCTTCTTAACTGATTGGAACTGATTGCTTACTGGGCTCACTATTAAGTTGTATATTGGAAAGTGAAACCTCATTTTCAAAGCTAGCTGCCGTGGTAGGAATTCTGTATTCAAAACACTTATTGGCAGCATGATGTGAGCTCTAGGTGCTTCATGTTATTATTTGATAAAGATATACCTTGCCCCATTCTCCATGATACAGATCAAATTCAGCATCCAAAGCTTTCCTAGGAAATGATGGTAGCTTTATAAACTCTTCATATAAAAATGATACATGATTTTGTAGCTGAAAATAGAGGATAGACTACAAGATATGGAAATAAACAATAGTTATACACACTGGGAAACACTGGGAAATATACAAAAATATGACAAAGAAACCAACATAGTCATTTGACTAATAGTCTGTTTCATCACAGCACCTCCAGGCCAGGTTAAAATGTAAACACCTGAACTAATATCCTAATATAATTACCTGATGTATGGGTGTACTAGATAACACTGCATTTGTAAATAATGTTTTACCAATCTCTACAAACTTTAGAGTGAACACCTGAAAATATTAATACAAAACTCATTTGAACTCCCAACATGCTTTGCCATTCAAATGCTGTATAATGTGTTGAAAGACTCTTAGTCAAGATTGCTGTAATACAAATTTTTTTTATTACCAGTTGTGTTACAAGGATCTGAGAAAAATAAATATTGATATATAAATTGATATAATAACTCACTCTTTTCTGTAAAGCAATATCAGCAGTGTCAGGATTCATGTGAGTTAAACTCAGTTGAGGGTAGAAATTACGTCGGAAGAAATAAAAATCTCTCACGTACGAATTCAAATTTTGAATTTGATCTGAAAAGCAAAATGTAAGAAGCCAAAAATCAAAAAGAGATGTCAAGCTGATAATCCCAGTAGCAGAGAGGCATTACGTGAACATCAGCTGATTAATATCTCCTAGGATATAAAGTTAATACTTACTAGTTTTGGTATCCAATAAGAAATATTGGTTTTGTTGATCTTCAGGAATATTAAAGAATTCTAATGCTTCTGTTAATATCTGAGAGAATTGAGTATCTTCATGTATAGGTAGTTGTGAAGGTATACTAGATAAATCTGGACCATGTACTAAAATCTTCTTGGCATTAGCAACATTAGCTGATATCAACAAATATGGCTGAAAGAACAAAATATGGTCATGTTTGATGCTTTGACAACTATAGTTCACCAGCTGAAACCATCAAAAGTCAAATTGCTACATCTATATTCAAGTAGACATATTTGAACACAATTAGGTATGATTCTAGACATACAAAGATAGTTGATGTACAGGAAGTAGTTGTGTTATAAGATATCTGGTATTGAAATGGTATTGATCTCTGTTCGATACATCTCTTGGAGATACTGAGATAGTTAAATTCATTTGCATCAATAGTAAAATTAAGGACTCACATCACACTGTTCTTTCTTCAATGTCTGTTTTAAATCTTTAAAGAAAATTCCTTCAACTGATGGTATAACAAGATGTAATAATTCTAGAGCACCCGCTATAGCTTCTTGACCTCCTTCACATGGTGATCTTGCATAAAACATTACAAAACCAATCTACAAGAAGAGATAATGCACCCATATGTGTTTTAATATTTGGTGGTAACCACATCAATAAATAAATCCATTATTGTGGGAGATGTTTTAGTCTAAAACCTTTAAATAAAGGAAATGTTAGAATTCTTCAAAGCAAAACTTGCAGAAACACTACCAATACCAAAAATATTTACAACATTTTTATGATTGTGTGTTTCTTTTTAACTAATTAATTACTTTTCACATAATTAATAAGCTTATCATTTGATCTGTAACCTAGTGCTGTAAGGCAAGTGCTTTCATTGAGACTTGTCTCAATACACCCTAATACTACGATCATAAAAGAGCTTATTTTTTGACTATTTGTCCCTATATATAAGACATCTAATCAGTATACTTACTAGGTATAAAGATTTGCATACTTACTAAATAATTATAATTATAAAGATTTGCATACTTACTAAATAATTATAGTTTTAAGATTTGTATACTTAATAAGATTTGTATACTTACTTAATAATTATAAAGATTTGTATACTTACTTAATAATTATAAAGATTTGTATACTTACTAAATAATTATAAAGACTTGTATACTTACTAATTATAAAGATTTGTATACTTAATAAATAATTATAGAGATTGGTATACTTACTAAATAGTTATAAAGATTTGTATACTTACTAAATAATTATAAAGAGCATGGGCAGTCTGAGCTGGTAGCTTTATATAATATAATACTAACTTCCTTAATACAAATAACAGCTCTTCCTGAAAACATGACAAAAACTGGTTTTAGTATTAGATCAATATATTGTAAAGCACACAATATAAAAACAAATTCTGTGATTTTCAAAATTAAAAAATTAGGAAGAGACTATTGCTACGGCAGACAAGAACTAAAAATTCTGCAATAATGTAAAGGCAGGACTTTTGAGCATGAGTGTTACACTAAAGAAAACTTAATTAAAATTACAGTTTCCGTAACAATATCCTGTGCCTTAAAATTAACTCAAATTCATGTAGCAGTCTGAGCTATTATACTAATTGGTGTTAACATAATCTTCCATGAATAGAACAAATAATTCATTAACAGAGATCCTTATTTAGATAATTGAAATGAATAAACATTTACCTGTTTATCTTTGTTAGTTAACTTTTCTAAGAAATGTCGAAAGAATAGAATAGGATCTTCCACAATACTGTCCCATATTACTTTATTAGCCACTTCACATACTGAAATGTACAAAGATCATCTCTGTCTAGCATAATCAGTTAGTCTTTAGTGATAAATATATCAGTATATTGACACCTCTTGACACTGATCTTTCTCAGACTATCTGTATTCCTTTACAGCTGGGTTGAAACGACATTTTCAAGATCACAAGACTTTCACAAACTGTCCCACAACCACCATAAGTTTGATATAACAAAGCAAATGACATCATGTTAAGATTCTAATAATCTAACTGTCTGCGCTACAGCCCATCCCTAGTTACCATTCCTTTAGTTGAAAATACCAAATTATTTCTAAATGCATATACTAACCTGATATACCACCATCATTAACATCACAATCATCTAATAAATGTATAATTGGTAAGACAGCAGCACAAATTGATGATGGAAAGAAATTCTGAGTCATTTGTAAATGATGGGAATGTTCAGCTCTATCTTCATCACCTAAACAAAACAAAAAAAAAGATGTATAAATATCACTAAGATTTTAATTTTGATATTTCACGCTAAATTGTGTTTTTTTACTAAACTGTACCAAAAATAATAAAACAAGAGACTTCATATTGTGATTTTTGTATTATGAGTTCATGTTGAATCAACATTTCTGTATTCAAATGTAAATGTGTTCATTATTTCATTTGAGGTAAAATTCAATCAAAAGAAAGAGGGGTGCTGAAAGATTCTTAAATTGATGTGAAAAAAAAAACTTGGCCAGTAGGCTTGTTTTCTTAAGAAAGTTATTGACATAAAAAGATTGCATACAATATTTAAAGAATTTGTGGTATGTAAGTTTCTGATGACAGGCTCCAAGTAGTACTCAGCAGAGAATTGAAAATTCTTATCTTCAGAAAATAGAATATCATTTGAGATGACAACATATATTCAAAATGAGATAGTCAAAAATTATATGAGATTAAAATTATTCCAAAATAAAATATCATGAATTTCATGAATGGAAACATTAAAGGAACAGGTTGGCCGTTTTCGGCTGTTAATTTGGGTTTTGAATATATGTAAAAAGTCTTCAAAAGTACTAGAAATGTACAAAAATCGCATAATTCCATCTAAAACAATCCAAACTAGGTTTTTAACCTTCGTTTTCAATATATGTCTTTTCATATAAGGCATAACCTCAAGAAAAGACAAGTCACCTTTTTAACTTTCAAACATGGATAATTCTAGGCACACATGGATTTTAAGGCTCAATTTTCGACAGTGAGCTGTGAATACTATGACTGATGGGCTTTCTTAAAAAAAATTCCGTTTCTGAGACTAAAGTACAATTGGTCAAACGGATGGCTAACCTGTCCCTTTAAAAAAATGATTCATAACATTAAAACTAATTAAATGAAAATGAAACCTTATAAAATAAAAAATGATATAAAAATCTATGTATCATGAAAAATGTAACAACATGAAAATTATATGACAAGCAATGGTTGGAAACTTAAAGATATGAAGTGTAAGCAATATGACTGTTCTGTACTGTACTGTAACATGATATGAAATGTTTTATATCATATCAGTGGGTTAAGTAGAAATATAACATGAACAATTTTATGTCAAGAATGGTAGGCCCCTATTCGATTTAGTATAACATAAAGAATTATTTGACATGAATATAAGAAATAATATAACATTAGGAATTTAATGACATGAAATGGTATAAGAAATAATATAAATGACATGAATGATATAAGAAATAATATAACATGAAGAATTATAAGAAATAATATAAATGACATGAATGATATAAGAAATAATATAACATAATGGAATTTAATGACATGAATGGTATAAGAAATAATATAAATGACATGAATGATATAAGAAATAATATAACATAATGGAATTTAATGACATGAATGGTATAAGAAATAATATAAATGACATGAATGATATAAGAAATAATATAACATAATGGAATTTAATGACATGAATGGTATAAGAAATAATATAAATGACATGAATGGTATAAGAAATAATATAAATGACATGAATGGTATAAGAAATAATATAAATGACATGAATGATATAAGAAATAATATAACATAATGGAATTTAATGACATGAATGGTATAAGAAATAATATAACATAATGGAATTTAATGACATGAATGGTATAAGAAATAATATAACATTAGGAATTTAATGACATGAATAATATAAGAAATAATATAACATTAATGGTATAAGAAATAATATAACATTAATGGTATAAGAAACACATGAAGAATTATTTAATGAAGAGATTTACAGTATGTACTCATTACAGTTGAGGTCTTTAAAATTGAAACTGATAAATGAAATTATTCAGAAACCTTGCTAAAACCCATAACATCATTACAAATCAGTTATAATTCATGTCACATGAGCCATGTTATTTTCAATTTGATGAAATCAATTTTCATGAGCAATATTAATTACCAACAGCTCTATATAGGAAATGATTATAAATTTGTAATATGAAAAATTCTTGAAGAAGTTAATCATTCAGATGAGTTGCATTAATGTCAATTATAGAAAAGGATAAAAGCAAATTGTCAAAAAAAAGTCCATTTAAAAATATTTAAGAATGAAAAACCCTTGTGAACTGTTGATTGTTTTTTTTTTTTTTGAATAGTTAAAATACAGCAGTACAGAGCAATTACAGTGCAACAAATCAAGATCAATCAACACAGGGATCAAAAATAGAAATCCAAATTCTTCAAGAACAATACATAGGTACATAACATGCAAAACTTAATGGCGTACCACTTGTGCAATTTCCTTAAGCTACTTTTACTGAAACTTCTAATTTTCAAGCAATTTAAAGCAGGGACAAGATCACTCACATTCCAATAAAAAATTGAAAAGAGAACTTGAATTTATCAGGAAGAGAAATAAAGAAAATAAATTGAAATAAATCAACAGTATTTTTCACCAAGAGTTTGTTTTATAAGGATATTGAACAAGTACCTTCTGATGTGAGTCGACCCCAATGTATACTTCCATTTCTCCAGGAAAGACTTCGATTTTGTATGTTAGAACGATTTACAGGAGCAAGGGACACACGTCGTGCTGCGAGGTTAATTTCTTCCTGGGCAGCTATTGGTTAAAAAGGCAGGTGCAAAACATACAAGGCAAACAAGGTGATTGGTTAATAATGCCCAAGCAGTAAATGACATAAAATTAATAGAACATTTCTAGCGTTAAGATCTTTGAATAAAATAAACTGAAACTAGGAAAGCAAGCCTATATCAGATAAAAATGACAGAATATGATTGTGATAAAAATGTATTTAATTTTTTTTTAGATTATTTTGAAGCAATACAAAAGGTACGAAGATCTTGACCCAAGAATATGTTGGTCATTTAAAACGAGGGCATCAGGTTAGGTGATTAATGGGGTGGGCGTGTAAAATAGAATATGATATGTAAACACAATAAAACCTTAAGCTTCATCTTACAGTAAATTTATACCAAAAGTTTGAAATTATAAAAGTAGCTTAACATTTAATTTTAATTGTTTCTTTTAATTTGTTCAGTGATAGATATGCTATGACAAACTAAATAATTTGTTTAAACAAAGTTGAGCTGGTTAAAAATCAACTAAATGCTTAAACAAAATCAAGTTGGTCACAGAATAAATAATTTACTGAACTCTGAAGATGTTAAAATACTGTGTTTACAAGAAGATTTTAGTGAATTGGGGGCATTAAAACAAACAGCAAAACTCTTATCAAATTGTTTTTATATGAAATATATTAAGTAAAGAATATAATATGAAAACTAATATAAAGCAACTAAAAAAGCTACAAAAATTGACATGGGTACAAAATAAAATAGAAAATTAAAGTTTATGATTACATATTTTCAGTCAACAAAAATAAATAAAAACAATAACAATCTTTCTACGTTTATGAAATAGGAGATAGAACTGAATTAATAAGCCTAGAGCTCTATCTATGATACATGTAATTATTAAGTATTTTTGATGAAATTTATATTCATAGAACATACAAATTTTGTTTAAATAAATCAATGAAACGAAACGACAACAAAAGCTGCAAAAAGTCTTGCTGTTTGAATATATTTTTTTGAAAATTTAAACAGAAAACAAATAAAAGTAAAGTTCTATGACATAAAAAAAAGAGTAAAAATCTAATTTAAGTACCAAATGCTAAAATATCACATTTACCTATCTGAAATTTAGATTATCATCTATGAAATCATAAAATATTTGGATCATGTAAACTATTATGTAAAAGAAACACTATCGATATAAATTAGGATTTACTGTATCTTGGCAGTCAAACATAATAGCTCCTAAACTAGGCTAGAACAGAACATTTGCTCTTCTGGAAATAAAGTGCTTGGATAAGGTTAGTCATTGCCGTGTTGATGCCTGATAGAACAATGTGTCTAAATTCCATTTAACACAGTCCAATCAGCACCACATGGTCCAAAAGCTTTACTTTCTAAAAGGAATCCTGAAAACTATCATAAGCTTTATTTGTAATGTTAATAATATATCAATATATATATAAATATAAATAACCATGCAAGGAGCAGGGTATGGGTTAATATTGAAGCTATGACTGAAGCAGCAGAGCAATACCTATGATATAAATCATCACACCTACCCTCTTCGTGTTCTTCTCCAGGATTATGTAAAGCTGGTTCATAAGCTGCTAGTTGACACACAGGAACTGTCATCATTGGGAAATTTTCTCTTCCAATACGTTTTCTTTCTTCTTCAGCATGTAAACCTTTACGTATCATTTCTTGTTGTTGTTTACGTCTAGTTGTTGTTGCTGTTACAAGTGATTTCTGATGATTTAAAAAAGAAGGATGAAAGAGTGCTAAGTATTCATATAGAAATAAAGTTACTTTAGTCCAAAAATATAGTTTAATTGGCCCAAAATGCTGTTGTTAACTTTGGCGAAAAAGAATAATGAATCTGTCACAAACAAATGAATACATTGAAATAAAGGGGAAAAAAAGCAGCTTAATTCAATTTTCTTGTGTTTATCGCTTTCACAAACATGAATAGTAGAAGCAGCATAAGGACCAAAAAATATAAATATTTCAATATTGGCAGATATACATGTATAAGATTTTACTTACTGACTCTTCTTGATTTATAGTCACTTCTTCTATCTTAGTTTTAAAATGTGGCATCCATGGTGGATCAATGACAGTGAGATTAGGTAAACCAATAGTTGGTGAGGGCAGAGTAAAATCTATACCAGGTGGTGGTATCTATTGAAAAATTAATTACTAAATATAATCAAGGAACACACAGGTAATAATAAAACAGTTCTTGTTCTTGTTCAAGCTGTTTGAATTGAAATATATTTGGGAAGTATTCAAAAAATTTATTGTTCACATTTAGCATTTAAAATTTGAACTCAAGATCTGTCCATGAAATTTGAGTTTCTAAAATAAAAACAAGACAGTGATATTATACTGATATAAAATGTAGACAATCAAATTCTATAGCTTACTTTAAAAAATAAATTGGATCCTTCTTCCATTCTAGGCCAAACTTGATATCTGAATCGCCATAATATTCCAAACCTAAGAAGAAAAAAGGAATTGTTCAGTTCTAGTTTATCATTATTGAAAAGTAGCATTGTAATTACCATTAAATTGTATCAGATGTTCTAAATACCTCAAATTGTGTCAATATTGCATGATCATAATATGACTATAAATAGTACTAATAAAACTTGAACATACCTGATAACAGCATTTATTCTCTGTGCTGTTTCTTCATGTTGTAGTTCTTTAATTATCATATTTCTTACTTTATCTGGTGATTTGACTGATGATAGTAGAAACACAGAGGCTGAAATTAAATTGAATTCAAATTTTAACATTATCTCGTATGATATTGATCCTGATGTTGCTTGTACTACAGGTTACAACCCTTAAAGACATACTACCTCTTTTTTAACTTGAACAAAATAATCACTGATCATCAGTGGACTTACCTGGTTTTAAACAATATATGACAGAATCCCTCTATAGTCCAATAAATTCATAAAACTAAGTAATGATTCATTACACTAATTAGAAGTGTGTTTTTAACAATTTTTAGTTTAATGGGTATATTATTGTGTTATATAGAAATTCTAGTCTTTAGTCATGGCACCTGTTAAGTCCAACTGATGAACTTGTTGACCAAGTTTGACACTTTAAGAGGTAGTCCACTGAAAGTTAAATCTTACCTGCAGCAGCAGCTAATTCCTGATCACTTTCTAAGATCAGTTCCCAGGCTACTGGCATCATATCAATAAAATTCTCTACACTTAATATTGGTGCTGCTTTACATAATATTGTCATAGGACATTGGGTCAGTCTCTGTGCCTACAATATAAAGATAACACATAGCATGAATCCCAGATCAGATAATTTAATGATAACCTTGTTTTAATCTCTACTCTTGGAAAGCAAAGAGAACATATTGTGTCAGTCTCTGATTTTGTAAAATAAAAGATAACATGTTGTGTTGAAAAAAAAGATAGGATATGATGATGAAAGTGACACAAAATACAATGTGAACTAGAAATTATAAAGATAACACATTGAGTTAGTTTTAAACACACAACATAAACTTACCTGAGATTGAAGGTATTTGATTATTAGTGGATCTTCTTTGATTTCTTTTGGTTTTTCTTCCTTTTTCCAAGTTGAATTAAGTTTCAATTTAGTCATGGATACATCTGATTTGATTTTCTCCAATAAAGGTGTGCTTTCTCTCCTTCTTGTTGGAGATGTTAGTTGAAACAAAGATTCCTGGATGGAAAAAACAGAATGTCTTGATAGCAGTAGTTTTATATATAGACTAATATATCACTATTATATCATACTGACTTATATGGAGCTGTTTTAAAGATATTTATTTCTTGCAATCTACATCCATATCAAGAATAAATTTAACACAATGGTTGACCTTAAAGATGGGTTTCCTTATTTTTAAGCGTCAAATTAGACAAACTATTTGATTAATTGGTGTTTCCAATGAATTATCATGTATTAATCATATCATGTTTTTATTGCATATAATTAAGAGTTCTAACCAATCATAAATGCCCATGTATGTACAGTCTGGATAAATAAAAAAAAACTTTTTGACCTTTCTTGATCGGTCACTCATTGGAATTCTGCTGGTAATTCTCTTTTAATTTAGCTAATTATGATTTATGGACAAACTGGTATTTTTCCAATGATTAGAACACTTCTACTTTCTATTCATATAAGTATTAGCATTTTCATTAATGAAAATAAGGGAAAACATCTTTAATGCAGTTTAAAAACAATAATTAATCTTTCGGTTCATCAAATTCATATTGATTACACTGTGTTTCAGATCATGTAAACATCTTTTTCAGTAAAGTGAATCATGCTCACTTGATCACTTTATTTATGCAATAACTGTCAATATGTGACTACAATGAAGTCCCCTCACAAATTTTAAACCTACAACAACATCCATTACTCAAGTGAATCGAAGTGAGGAAATAAAACAACGATGACAATTCTCATTACCTCCAATTTATAAACATCACATGGTTTCACATATAAGAGAGATGTTAAAACTGGTTTTGGGACAAAGGAAATCCAGGAAATATTAATCAGAACTTAAATTTTAAAATAAATCAATTAAACTTACTTTTCTCTTAATCTTTTCTTTGACTGTTTCTTTATTTTGATCAAGTTTATAGGAGTCAGATTCACTTTCCTCTGTAGAGTCATGTATTTTACGTAGTGCTGTTATTAAACGTGAACAACTTCGTCTCTGCCGTTCATAACAGTTAGGGTGACAGTAGTTATGGTGGGGACATATAAAATTGGATAAGTTGGCTATCTGTACAACAACCTAGAGAAAAAAAAAAGAAACAAATACCATTAAAAGATCCTCCTTTTTTTATTATTTTCACCTCTATGGTATGTATACTAAATTCAAGTTAAAAAACCTTCGTCAGTTTAAGGGGAATTAACTCACTTTAATCCAAGGTAAATCCTGATAAAGCTGTTCATCTTCAACTTCCTGATCGCGTTCACCAGGTGATTCCTGTGTATCATCACTTAACATAGTCACTGATTCTGTATCTTCTGTTAATACTGGGTCTTCTTCAACAAACTTAGCTTCTGATTGTAATGATTGACTACTAACTTTCCTAGATCTTAAACTTCCCATTTGTTTGATACCTTCAAATAAAGTATAGTAGTTTATATTCATGTCCATAAAGTCAAAGGGCAATAACTCAAAGATTGTTTCTGAAATACTCTATCAAGAGCTCATTAAAAAAAAATTGTCTACAATGTTTTCAGCAAACAGATCAACGCTCCGGAAGGATGGTATTATTTGTCCATATTTCTCTGTCAAAGTACAACAATTTTACAGATTGAAAAAACCATAAATATAAAAATAATTCAGAAATAAATGATACTTACTACCACTGCCTTCTTGTCTTTTAAATTTAAAACTACGATTATGTCTGAAGCTTGCATTGTGGGTAGAACCTCTTCTAAAGTGACGTAATAGTTTCTGTCTTCCTTGAGCTAATCTTCGACCTACGAGATAAATAATTGATACAGATTAAATACATTAAGTGTTACATTTCATACTTGTTATACTATCTTGATTCGACCACTTTGAAAACCTTCCAGAAAATTCAGCCATGCCTAAAAAAGATTTTTATCATCCTCTATTCTTTTGTGAGGTTGTATAGAACAGTCTTTTAGATTGTTGGTTCTTTACATGACGTCATTTCCTTGGTTGAGTCGAGCAAATGGCGGCTGTGGGTTTCGTTCACGATCGGGGTATGAAAGTCTGATGACCTTGAATAAGTCATCTTCACTCATAATTCCAGTCGACCCAGCTGTAAATGGGTATGGATAAACCAAAAAAGATCAGGAGGTTCGGCCAAAGACCAGCTGGTTGAAAGGATCCTTAACTGTGAACCTAAGTTGTTATCCTTGTTAAAATATATAGGTGTTTCTTTTTTGAGAACAAATATTATGGAGGTCAATTTCTGTCATATTCAGCTTTTGATCAAAGTATCTTTTTATTTCACCACATGATATATGATATTATATGACATTTATCCCAAAGTCTGAAATCAACGCCAATTTGAATTTATTGTACAACTCCAATATTTTATGTGCTTTTCATTCAAAATTCATATTATGAAAGTATTCTTTTATCATAAAGAAAAAGATAAAAATGTTGTATTGTGAATCCAGTTATATTATAGCACTTCATGATTTCCATACAGTTTCTTTTTATCCATTTAAATTACCAGCAATAAAAATTAAACAGATTCTAATGTCTAAGAAAGTAAGATTTCCTTGTCAAACAAGTCGTAAAAATAAATTGCAATACATGGCAGAAAAAATAGTCACAAGAAGAAATGTTTCTAAATTTTACACTTAATGCAGATCAATACACAAAATAAGTGTATTAAAGATTAATTTGTCAGACTGAATGTGAACAAATATCAAATGAACAAAAATTTCATGGAGTCGCATTTTTTCTCAAATTCTACGTAATAATTATAAATTTTCCTCTGTATTAGTTGTTGATTACAAAAGACCTGTTGATATGTTGAAATAGATATTTATAGCTCATTATGGACTCTAAAACTTGTCATTAAAAGGGCTGTGTCATCTATTCCTATTTTGAGATTGCCTGACTTTTCTAAAGTGTTTATATATATATAGATATATAACACATATCTTCATCAGGACAAGTTTGCAAATGGTTTAAATGATATTAACTTTAGAAAAATCAGAACAGAATTAATAAATATGAAAAAGCATCTATTACTGACCTCTCTCTTTCTTTTCATCATTGAGATTAGGGTCTAAAACTGATATAGATGTTGTACTACTGTGTATAGAATCAGATCGTTCTGTTAATACAGCAAAACTTATTTTACGATCACCAGGACTTCCTATAGGACCTGTTAAATATCAAAATATTGATATGAATAAAGTGCAATATCTTTAGGGCAACATCAAAGTTAAATCATTTCAAATGCAAATGAAAAACTTGATTCACTATAAATGCTGTGAATGAAATCTCATAAACAGTTAATCCAAATCAAAGAAAAACTGCAGCCTGCATTATAAGATAATTGAGTTATCAAGCAATTAATAAACATACCAGTGGCTTGAGGTAATTCTGCAATGTTGGATTCTGAACTTTTGTCTGAGTGACCTGGACTACTAACAATACTACTAAATCGTCTGGATGTGACTGTCTTCTCCCAAGGATGTTCACGTTTCTGACTGCGAGATTTAGGTAGATATTGGAAAGTCTCTCTCAAGAATGTTGTTATTTCTAGTAGAACTAGGCATCCCAACATTTTCAAAGCATAAGGACATTCTGTTCCTTTTTCATTAACTGATGCTGAAATTAACAGTTCAAAAAGATAATATATATATATGAGATAATCCCACTATTAAATTGAACAAAGTTTAAATATATACACAATATGTAAAATGTTACCCCTTCTTTTCTTTATTATTATATAAGTCAAACTGAATATCAAGATTGCAGGTTCTTTGGAAGTTTTGATTTATTACACCATAAAGGTTTATTATCAAAATAATTTGTATGTATAATATCAAAATAATTTTTATGCATTATCAATATTACTTTGTATGCATTATCAATATTATTTTGTATGCATTATCAATATTATTTTGTATGCATCATCAATATTATTTTGTATGCATTATCAATATTATTTTGTATGCATTATCAATATTATTTTATATGCATCATCAATATTATTTTGTATGCATTATCAATATTATTTTGTATGCATTATCAATATTATTTTGTATGCATTATCAATATCATTTTATATGCATTATCAATATCATTTTATATGCATTATCAATATTATTTTGTATGCATTATCAGTAATATCAATATCATTTTGTATGTATTATGAAAAAAAAAATTGTTATGCATAATCAAAATTATTTTTAGAGGGTAAAATTTCTGTATCTACCTTCATCAAGGAAATCTTCTTCTTCATCTTCTTTTCTTAATTCCTTCTTCTTAGTCTCATCTTTAATATCATTGATAATAGACAGTCGGTCTGCATGTTCTTTAGCTAGTATATATTCTAGTTGACTACCTAAATTCTGATTAAAAAACAATATCATTGATAATAGACAAACACTGTACATGTTATGTGGTTAGAAAATTTAATAGTTGACATATCAAATGAATTCTTTAACGAAAGGTTTGCAAAAAAAGACTCAATGAATGTGGATTAAAATTAAGATTTGATAAGATCATTGTATACCAACCTCTGCCCAAGAATAAAATAATCTGCCTGCAGCTCGTTGTAACATAAGATTTCTTCTATAACCAGATGGTTGGCCACGATTTTGTAATGCTGCTACTGTATGTCTAAAACTTGGTAAATTCAATTTCATCCAATTTGGCCAATCACCATGGTTACAACGATGTATAAAATGTGCACATTCTAATAACATTGCAGCTCTAGCTGCTACAGGAGCATCCTTAGAACAAAAAATAATTTGAAACTTAAAATTCTTTAACTTACAAGCACATGATAGAAATAATGATGAGATTTCACAATGGTTAATGGTTGTTTTTACATAATAATAATATATATACCGACTGGAACACACTCGATGCCACTGGAAGGAACAGATGTTCAAAATTAAAACTCACCAAATCCAACATGGCTGCTACAAGTTGCGGATCAGGAAATGTGCCAGGTGCTGAACATTCCATAAGAAATGAGAAGCGCAGCATTCCTGATCTGATGAGGTATTTGTCCACCATTTTCTTTTCTTTGACAATAATAGCTTCAGAACTAATGTCATGACTTGTACCTGTTTTACCACCATGTGCACCTGTTAATACAAATTACAAAACATGCAAAATGAAGATCATATTGTGTAGTCAATTGTTATTTATCAAATCATTTAACATCTTGCCATTTTGTGTGGGCATTATGATCATATTTGATATGGAATTCATAATTTGAATATCTTGCTTGATTACATCAGTTCACGTCTAATTTATCAATATTCATCAAAGTAACAATTTACTTTGGCTGTAATAAATTGACCTACCATCGTTACTATTGACTTTAGCTCGACCTCTATTCCAAGCCTTCATCAATGTTTCCTTATCATTAGACAGTTTCTTCCTAGCACTAAGAAATGTTAAAGTAGCATGACTAGCAGCTTTAAATGACATCTTAGCTTTAGTTCTACCAGTATGAACTTGTACATCACTTCTACTATCTCGTCTATCTAATCCTGTCATTTCATGATGAGAATCATCTTCATGATCAGACTTGGTACCTCTTCTCCATCCTGAAATTTTATTATCAAATATTATTGGTTTTCAAAGTAACGTAAGTCAAAAATAGGCATTTTTTCTTCTCTTGTGATATCATGAAGTCAGCATTATGTATTTTTGCTTTACAACCTCTAACTCAAATATAACAAAGAAGAAAGTATTCGACTGACCTATTTGAAATTTACTAAATCTTCGTCTTGGAGTACTAAATCCAGAAGGTGAATCATCTTCTGCTGCTGATATACTAGTTCTAGGACTTCTCTTACCATGTGTACCTTCATCTAATAATTCACTATCACTTGCAGCATATTGAAACATTAATGACTACAATATCAAATATTAGAGTTTTAGTGTCAAATGTACATGTAGAAAGGAGGAAAAAATTTTGTCAAGAAATCTGATCTGTGGCCAAACCAGAAAATTAATACTCAGTACCAGTAAAAGGTATAATAACTTCAAGGTACGATTCTAAGCATCAATAATGATTTACTGTGTTATTGTCATCTATATGAATTTGATACAAATATGGTTTACTTCAAGTCAGGACTCAAATCTCCCATTTTTTCTAGCTTTTACCAGAATATTCTCAGAATATATTATATATGTGATATACATCATCTATGCTTGTTAAATAACAAATAAGTCAGTGTTAGACAGTACATAATGTTAGGATTGTTTGTTACAAAATACACTATTTCAAGTCATGTCAAGAATAATGTCATGATTGGAACACATTTCATTACAAAAAATATCAGAAATAATTAAAACATATACGATAGAAATAACATGTATATCTGACATATTATAATCAAGCATCACAAAGATCACCTACTTGAGCATGTGTGTTATGAAATGAGATATTTACTGTAACTTCAAGATTTTATTCACATACAATGGTCAGAAATTTGAAGTTATATAACTATAACTATAACTACTATGTATTGTTATTACCTGGATGCCTAGAAATAAATCTATTAGCCTTAGAGATTCCACAAAATGACAGCTAAACACAGAATCAGTGATATACACCTGATAAGAATGCCAGTGCCAATGTTGGATATTTGTTCATTGCAAAAGAACTTTCAGCCAATGTCAGATATACATTGAAAGTAACATGTTAGTAGTATATTTACCTTACGAAGTTTTCTACGGAAGAAAGATTTGCGTGATTTAACCGGTGTGTTAGTATCTGTATTAGTATGTATTATAGTAGAAGATATAGGTGATTGACTTGTTACCTCTTTTTCATCACCACTATCACTAGTTACCGATGTTGTTCTGCTGAAAAATACACACAATACTGATAGCTTTCACATAAATTCACTCCCTTGATTCGGAGATCTTCATTGCACAGTCAATTTTCCTACAGTTTTGTACCAGTAATAGACTTACTTATAATTATTTATCACATGCCAGTTTACTATATCGAACTAACCCAAAACACACTTATCTATATTTCACTTACCGCATTCTAGCTTCTGGCTTTGCCATCTTGGCTTCCCGCTCTTTCTCAATTTTACGTCTGCGTAGTTTCTGCAGTGAATCTAATAAACCACTCAATGCTATTCTACGATATGTTCCACCATGTATTTCTTTCACATAGGATGTAAATTGTCTGACATCACAGAATAATCCCTTTAAAATAACATATGAAATAAAATAATTACAAGTTGGTAAGCTTATACATATTTCATTGGGTATATAAATAAAGAAATATTGAGGCCTACATGCACAACATAAGCATAAAATACACTGGAAATGTTGAAAATATAATACAGGTACTTACAATATTTTCATGACCACATAATTCAGATACACTTTCTACACATCTTGATACGAAATGTTTAAATACATTAGCTATTAATACACCCTCTACACCTCTATATCCTTCCCCTCCAATACTGTGACCAAAATTATTAGCATATCCATTTCTAGGTAGAGTTTCTTGTGAAGCAGACTTTTTCTGGGCTAAAATAAATACATTTGTGATAAACCATCTATGTTGTTACATTTTCAATTTCAAATAAACAGAATCCAGTTTGCCTAAGGCTGTGTCTCTATGAAGTTCAAGATGCTTTCATAGTTGGTGCAGAAGCGTTTTTTCTACTTACAGTTGCCCTGTGGTGATTGTAAAATAATTGTAGGATCAGTACAGAATCCTAAAACAGCATGTAGAAAATCTACAGACTCCTGTAAATTCTTCTTCTTTACTGTGTCCCTTAAAAACTTATGGAATAGAGGTGGATTCAGTTTCTGTAGTCTCTTTAAGCACTGTTGACCTTTCAACCTCAGATGGTCACCTTGTGCACCAACAATACCATCTCCACAACCATGTGGACATCCTAAAGCTTTGTAGATTCTGAAATGGAACATCGTGTGGTATTGTATTGTTATTTATCACTGACTGAACACTTTGAGGTTGGAACAGAATTAGCATTACACATTGTTTACAAAAAATTTAAAGATCATACCTAAATAAAGATTCCATTGCTAAACTGTGAGCTGTTACATGACCTTTTGAGCTTTCATTAGTAGGTGATTTATCAGTTTGTTGACTGGTGATAGTACTATCTGGTGAAGACACTGACTGAGGACTAGGTGTCTGTTGATGGACTTCAATTATATCTAAATCTACTAAACAATTTAAAATGTTCAACAGAACTTCACAGATAGATGGTGAACGTTCTGATAGAGCTATAAAATGTACAGCACGTAATATAACTTTATAATTCAAATGTCCATTATCTTGTATATAATACTTGGATCCTGCTACTTCTTGGATTTCTTCTTCAACTTGGTAATGTATATTAGAATCTGTCATACTTCGAGACAGGTTTTGATTGATGTGGCTTTCTTCAGCATCACCTTCACTCATACATAAATCATAATTAGAAGGGAATTTAGGATCTGGGCTGTGTTCAGTGATAGTTATAATTGGTCGCCGAATAGGTTCAGGTTTCTGTAGGTCATCTTTAGATGAATTAGAAGAGTCATGACCACTGTGATGGCTGCTACTACCAACTGATTCTCTATCAGATTGAGGCAGGGTAGGCATACTAATACGTTGTCCACAAGCAGAATGTTTATCCTCTTTTGAAGAATATGTACCATGTACAGAATTAGGGCGTATAAGTTCTGTCTCTGTATCCACTGTTGAAATAGTACAGGAACTAGATGAGTCATCATTATAAGACTTGAAACCATGGCTACCAGAATCTGTTTTACATGTTTTAGGTGATTGAGACCCTGTCACATCTATTTCTCCACTTTCTTTCTTCTTCAATAACATTTTACCTTTAATTAGACAATAAATCACAAAATCTTTACTATTCTAGGACAGTGTTCAAACATCAAGTTGAACAAGTTAAATGTTATGATTTATATGATCATGCCAAAGGGCTTTGGAATTGAAATGATGTTTGGATCTGGCCATATTAATACAGGTTATTTGACTGTCTGAATAATCAATTTAACTGAAAAAATCATGAATTACAAAGTACAAGAAATTGTTTATTATACAGCAAACACTGTCCATACATGGAATTTTCTGTAACAACCAACTTTTATATTTCAATGTCAGTTACTAACAAATCAAATGAAGAAAGTATTTATAAGGTGATCTTCAGGGTAATTGCTTTGGAATTCAGACAAACAAGCACATAAGTATGTCCCATCTAGATTGTTTCTACCTACCAGAGTCAAAAAACTGTTTCAACTCTATCACACGTATCTTTTTAAATGGAGGTTCTTTACGGTCTGAGTTGTTGAAGGAAGCATTATAATAATGTTTATTGGTAATAGTAGGTGATGTTGGTTGAGGAGAGGGTGTCCTGGTGTCATGTCCTGTTGACAGGCCACTTTTATTATCATCAGGAGTACCAGCTTTACTACCAGGTACACCTCGTAACACATCTAAATCAGGCATTGGTAAACTTCTACTTCTAGCACGCACTGAATGATCAAACCTCATAAATTCATCACAAACTTCTAATATTCTTTGGTGAACATATCTGAAAGTGATTGGTCATGAGTCAATTATATCTTATCCATGAGAGAATGTTAGTAAGACCTAATCTTGTGCTGTGACACGAGTTGTAGATTTCAAAATGGCTGGTGTGAAAGTGGCAGTAGGCCTATGTACACAACAGAGATGATGGTCATCCAGCGGTGATGGAACACAGTAACACATACAACTTACCTCAATGACCACAATATACCTTCTTCTTGCCAATTTAAACTGAATAAACATCTTAAAACAGCCACATCGAAATAACTTGCACTTAACATATCAGGTTCTTCTGATGTTCTGTTACCACTGACAACAGCACTGGCTAACCTCTGTTTAACATAATCTTTATCAACAGATGATGTTAGTTTTTGGAAGGCGTAAAATTTGGAGTCTGGTTGGCAAAAAACTAAACTGTCTTTACGACCACATTTACATGTCATACCAGCTTCACCTGATTTCATCGGCATCACTGTATTACAGTATTCACACATCACCTCCATGGTTGGTGCTTGTGAAGCAGCAGAAGACAATGGGCAAATATCACTCATTCTTGCTAAAGGAGCAGTTGGACTCTGGGGATCTTGAACAGTTAAGCTCAATTTACTAGATGTATCAAAGAGGTATGTCAAATTTTCTCTCGATGATCCTTTACCAACATAGATATTAGCAGCATTGGTGTTAACCTTCAGAAGGTTACGTTGTGCTTTTAAGACATTCCGCTGAGGCTTAACTGGGGTAGAAAAACATGGAATATCTGGTTGTCGGTACTCCCACAATGGTTGCCATAGCTGCAGACCATTTTCTAACTTCAATGACTGAAAATCTTCATCTTTGATTGTGTGAATCAATGGGGCAAATTGATATACGAACAATTGTATAGTACTCAATGGATGCATGTACATGGAAGTTGCTCCTTTGGGTTGTTTTTCTGGCTCAGCATCACTACATTCAGAAGAAGCATCAAGAATGATCCAATGAAGAGTGTAAAGTAGTTTAATCTCAAATGGTGTAAACTTGGCTTCAGGATGGGTACGTTTTCTGATGGACAGTAATGATGAGCATGCATGCATGAGATGTGGAAATGCTGCTTGTATTGTCTTCCATCTAGATACACTTTGTATAGCTTCACAAAGACTTGGTGATAATCCATGTAGAATGTTTTGAACTACAACTCTTTCGAATGACTGAAAAAATTACACCAAAAAAATATGAATCTTATTTGCATATTGATTATAGAATAATAACAATAAGCTTATTCCTAGCATTTTGGTAGAAGGAAATCTGATTGGAACATTAGATAACTTTATTATTAGGCTACTGGTTTTCTTATAGAGTTTGTCTATCTCGATGGATGAATTTTTGATGCCATAGATCTTGTTTTTGAAAATCTGGTATGAAAATGTGGACAGTGAAAGAAGAAGAGTAAGCTTTAGTCAATAATGTTTATCTGCTGTCATCTCATTTATCATATAGCCGTTCTAATTTACTTGATTTGCCAATAGTAATCAAAGATTGATGTTCAATTGTTGAAAGAGCTACAAAAGACTCATAAAAACCTAGCCTACTTACCACACAAGATGCCTCACATAATTTTCCCTGCTTGGGACGAATAAATGGACTGAAAAGCAAAAAATGACAAACCAATGCCAAAAAATATCATCATGCCATCACTAATAATAATAGCCTACAGTTATAAGTCTTCTAGAAAACACCCATGATATATTTAAACATGATAAAACGTAAGTCAATGGCTGTATTTTTAATTGGCACCCACCCCCTCTTTCTCTACTCAAATCTCTATCATGCTTTACCAACTGGCAACTGTAGTTTTTTGAGAATTATGTTGGTAGGATTATAGGCTTAACTTTTGCTTCAAGTTTATATATCTATTTGATATAATTATGATCAATGACTAGTGAATCTAATGATGGTGCTGAAAAAGAAACATACCTTGTTTGACGCCAGAAAAATGTCTGAATCGGTAATGGCACTGTTTGGTCACCATCCAAATCACTTGCAGAATCACTCTTTCTCTTTGGCATCTCGACGGTTTCAAAGGTTCTTTCAAGTCGTGTGGATTCTGCAGTTTATGTTTATACGCTAAATTAAGCTGGGCATAATCTTGTTCTAAACAGAGCAAAATAGCTCGTCAAAGTTCATTGTAAGTCTACCATTTTCCTCATCATGTTTATTAGATGCAGAATTTCATCGAACCTATATTGACCTTTTCTGTAGTCTTTTTCAACAAGACTACATTCGCTTAAAACATTACAGGGATTGCCGTCTGGATAATCAAAACTATTATCGATTGAAGAATAAATTATCCGTGATCATCAAGACATACCTTGTCGTTGACGTTAATGTGGATGGAACTTCCTGAAAGTAGTCTCGAATATCAAATATGTACGATTTCTTAAGCAAGTCTAATAACATTCTTCTCGGTTATCAACGCGCGGAAAGACCGTCGAGTTTATCAATTCTTAGGGCCATTCCCAATCTTTAAACCATTAGTTTATCTATATATAGATCTACTGTATCAATTGCAAGGTACCAGTACCATAATAACATGTTAACACTCTATGCAAGGAAAGACCCGTACAGATTTAGATATACGGGGCTGCATGAGCTAGGTTGGATGGGTCTTGTAAATATCTACTAAAATGCACACAGTGGCGACGTCGGTGGGGGTTCCCTAGTTTGTTCCCCAAATAATCCAACTCCGTTTTCATTTATTTGAAATTTCAAATTACGATTCTTATACTTTTGTAGCTGATCGACGTTACATGGCAGGTTTGGGCCTTTGTAAATTAGCCTTTGAGATTTGAGAATAGGCCGACATATCACACAACATTACAAATTAAGTAAGGCCAACAGGGACAACAAATTTAATTTAGCTAGTAAAAAAAAAGGGTGGGGGTCCCTTCAGAGATAAAGTACCTAGTAATCTTTTATAAGCTGGTCTATTTTAACATATTTGAAGAATTAAAGTACTTTTAGAGATCGATTTGATGTGCAACATTGACACCAAAACACATATGAATGTATTGTTAGAAATACTTAAAGACTTCCTTTCAATTTTCGTCTGAGTTTACAGGTTTTAATTGATTTTACTTCAAATTCGAGCAGTAGCCTAATGAGCAGTATATAAATACCCCCAGGTACAAAATTTCTATAGCAAGAGATATTTTATAGCTTGGAAATAATCGTTCCTATTTCCAGACTTAACGTCATGTTTATAAGGTTTCTAGATATTGTGGGTCGAAGAATACAACTAATCTGTTATTTAATGATGGATTTGAAATTTTCAGGCACGCTGTTGCCATGTCTCAATTTCAGTATAATTCTTTAGAACTGCTATAAGATTTTAAATATCAATAGACAGAATGTCTGGGCATGGAGAAAACTTGACGCCTTCTGAAATTTAATCAGAGCCAGGTCCAAGGAGAATGGCGCCAATGTGTCTAATATTCATCTACTCTATCCAGTCTATAGACGTCAATTCTTATACTTCTTGCTCTGTGATCAGATTTTTAATCTCAATGTGGACAAAAAAAGATCTTATTTTGAATTTAGAGTGTATTACTATGTTTTTGTAATACTTCAAGTCTGAAAGAAGTATGTGCTCCGAAAATTGAATGAAAAAATATGTGTTTTACGCGACCTTATGATTAATACAGACGGGTTTAGCAATGCCCCTATTTGCGTATCCTTTACCGAAAGTTCTTCATATTAAATGATTGAAAATGATCTCAGATTAATGCGATAAGAAACGATTCTATAGAGAAATTCAAATATTCAAAGATATTATATCAGTCAACAGGCCGAACACAGCTAAATGATACCCTGGAGTTTATGATCATGATAAAAGTCGTGCTAATCGAGTCTATTGCCAGGAATTCTGTCTCGGTATATTATGTCATAATTCCAATTACATGTCAACATAGTAGACAAATGTTCTGATGCATTGTCTACATCATGTTGCTATAACAATAGATAATGTTTATAGGCATACACTGGGCGCACGCATACAACTTGAAATTACAATCAGTAATCTTCCTTTAAAGAGCAGGAAAGTACATGAAGGATTTCCTTGAACTCATACATTTTTGAATAATAGGCAGAAAAGAACCGTTTTGATATGTGTAGCAAAAGAACATTTCCGTCAATTATTATGTTTAAGCTATAACACTCTGAAACTGATTTATCAATGAGAGTCATGGTGATCTATCGATGACAGCGAAAAACACTTTAGTCGCGGGGACTACAGCACTCGGGCTGATGGGCTAATGAAACAGCAATGATTATACGACCGATATTCCAGCATAGCTCTGATAAAAATTCTAACATATCATAATGCACCATTGTGTTGGGTTGTTTCGGAATCAATTTTTGGAGGTAAAATGTTTTAAAGACAATGTAAATAAAACACATTGTCAAGAAAATAAATTTCTGTCGAACCTTGCTGACAAGTATTCAATGTAAGGAATTGGAACAGAATTTATTGTGGGACTTTGCTTTCAGCAAAAGTCCCAGTTTGTTATCGAAATGTCCATTCTTTTTTTTTTTTTTCACAGTTCAACATGTGCAAAAAGTCGAAAATCGGCTCTAGAAGGCGCATTTTTGCATCGATTTTCTTCGGGTTTTCATTTTTATAATCTACCTGTAATTTCTGACCTGATAGCACTTGAAAAATTACGAAATTCGAAAATTCGTCGCTCACTTTTTTCGATCAAATTTTTCGATGTTTTTGCAACTTTTTTGATTTTGCATCGATTGATCTGAAATTTTAAATGCAAAGAGACTTCACTAATGTTAATAATATGATACAGTCAAATTTTGTACGTCATTTCTGATTTTCAACAGGAAAGCGACTGAACTTTAAATCTACTTCCGGTTGAATAACTTCCGGTGTAATTTATGTAGGTCAACAAAATTTGGCTGATCTTTGGCAAATAAAATTTTATGGCCGATTTTAAAATAAAATCCAGACCGGAAGTGATACTTTGGCCGCCATATTGAAAAAACACACTTTTGTAAAACTCAAAATGGGGCCTCAGGGTAAAAGTTGATATGCTCAAATTTGATGTGAATGTATTCTGCAATCGATTGCGCAAAAATTATTGGGAGCCGAATTTTGAATTTCGCTTTTGCTTTTTTGCAACTTCCGGTTGAAATTTTTTAAAGCTTTAAACGATCACACCATGTGACCTTGACCTTTGATGACCTTGACCTTCATAGGGTCAAAGGTCATTGACCTTGGCTATCATTTGATACTTTGACCTTTGACCTCCGACATGTACTTCCGGTTTTATAGCTATCCGTAAAAAGCCAAATTCGCAACTTTGGACTGCTCTAGCACGTGACCTACTTAACCTAGAGGGTTAATTTTTTCGGTTTCCTAATGTGCTTCTCATGCCCTTTACATAGATATATAACAATCGTTCTTTTAAAGCAAAATTGAAATTCGTGATTTTTCAAATTTGAGGTTTTTTTTACAATATTTGCGTCTTTTTGAGCTTGGTGTATGTATATCTTATGATCTATTTGATGTAGAACCTTGATATTTGGAATACAACTAGACACT